GCGCATGCGTGGCGCGACGACCACCGTCCTTTAAATTGTAAAGAAATCATGCTGCTTTTACGGAACATACATTTAACCGACCCACCCAGTATTACTTACCTTTTCAGAAATTGATATCACCAGTTGTTCCTTGTCCTCTCCATTCGTGAAAAACTCCTCCAGTATCTCACGATAGCGTCCAGCTTCGCCATCACGTCCAAGCTCAGTGTAGATATATTCCAAATTTGCTAGAGCGTTTAAATTATTTCCATTTTCGTTTAACACGTCTTTGAAGTGTTTCAGCGCTTTCTCCTTCTTGCCCTGTGAGTACACCAGTAATCCAAGCATATGGTACACACAGTGACGCATCGTCCCTGTAACATAGTGATCTAAATGCTTAATTTGGTCCTCTACTCGCGTCGTAAGCTGAGCTTTGCTCGTGTTGAAAAGCTGCAATTGCATGTAAAAATGGCCGCATTCATCTCTCGATTCTGGTAGGGAAATTTCTGCTGCATTCGCCATTTTGAACCTAAATCTATGTTGTACGCTGGTACAGTTAGGATATAGTCAATATTTAAGTAACGTCTGTCTTTATATAGCTTTTCAACAACAATATATAAGACAGCTAAATATAGAATTCTATGAAGCCTGGAGATTATTCGACGCACAATTTCTACGAAATCACTTCACGCAGAACAGACCATGAACAAAAGAATTTTGTCATTCTAAACAGTTCAATGAATTGCTCCAAACCACAATAATATGTTTGGGTTAGAATAGTTTAAACTGTCAAATAGCCGCGTATTCTTTAAATAGAATTTCTGATAACCACAAAAACACAGCAAAACGGTTCTGCTAATACACAAAATATCAATAAAAATCACGTCATGGTGCAGTGTTAATGTCTTTATTTGTGATTAATGGTGAAAACATATATTACGATACTGTCTACATGATAACTGCATTTCACTGCATGCGGCTCTACACATTTCACGCTAATAATTTGAAAAATGTGTTCTTAATGAGTTGCCCTTACTATACGTCCAACAGTCAACTGTACATATTCACAAACTGGAGTTTTGTGGGACACTCGTATTTCCAGGTAGTAGTGACATACATGTGTTTACGACACGATGGAAACTCGTTTGTGTCGCGGCGCATGCGTGAACATATGGCGCAATTCGAGCAGTCGGTCTCAACTCTCGGACGGCTATACACAGGTGCAGTCAACGAGTAAATTTGCAAAAATGGTTGGTATTTATGTTTGGTCAACAGTAACCTAATTTATGAACATTATTAAGGCTTAATTTAATTTGGAGGAGAGAGGTCAATCTGTTCGCAACTCCCCTCCCTCTCAACCAAATTAAATTGCCCTCCCACTGTTTTTTGCTCCCACTGCCCTCTCCCCGCTCAGTTTTTGCTCCCCGCTGCTTTCTACCCACTCGGTTTTGCTCCCACTGCCCTCTCCCCGCTTAGTTTTTGTTCCCCGCTGCCTTCTCCCCACTCAATTTTATTACCCACTGCCCTCTCCCCGCTCAGTTTTTTTGCCTGCCCTGTGGACGCGCAGTTGTATCTACTCTCTCCCACCCAGTTCATACCGTCTTGTGTATAACCTCTCCCGCAATAAGCGCTGCTTATTTTTCATATACGAACCGTGACGCCAGTAACAGTGCTAACAACTTGCCAAAACGGGTATGCATATAGGAATACGAGGCGCGGAATGTAAATTTATTATTTTGTGTATACTAGAAGAAAACGTGCTAATAATTCAAAATTACGTACGTATTGGAGGCGGTGGCGTGTGTGTTTTAAAATGATGTGTGTGTTTTAAAAAAACGGCGTGACTGTGCGTTTTAATGGTATGTGCTTTAAAAAATCATGTGTGTATATTAAATGGCGTGGGTGTTTTAAAAAACGTGTGTTGTAAAAATGACGTGTAAATTAAAAATGATGTGTGTCTTAAAATGACGTGTGTGTTTTAAAAATAATGTGTGTTTAAAAACATAACGTGTGTGTAAAAACGATGCGTGTGTTTAAAAACGACGTGTGTGTTTTTAAAAATGGCGTGTGTTTAAAAACGACGTGCGTGTTAAAAAAATGACGTGTGTGTTTTTAAAAATGGTGTGTGTTTAAAAATGACGTGTGTGTTTAAAAATGACGTGTGTGTTCAAAAATGACGTGTGTGTTTTTAAAAATGACGTGTGTGTTAAAAACGACGTGTGTGTTTTTAAAAATGGCGTGTGTTTAAAAACGACGCGCGTGTTAAAAAAATGAAGTGTGTGTGTTTAAAAATGACGTGTGTGTTTAAAATGACGTGTGTGTTTTTAAAAATGACA